TGATTATCATATCCAAGTAAACCTGGATATTTAGTAATTCACACTTGAAGATATATAAAAGTTATACTTTGTACCTGTAGATATTTTCATATTTCATTGCGCTTTTCATTGTGAATTGTTAGTATATATGCAATCAGAATGTTTAATTTTTCTTCTTATGTTAGAATTAAACGCGATGCTTTTCTTGCAATGGATATATATATATATATATATATATATATATATATATATATATATATATATATATATATATATATATATATATATATATATATATATATATATATAATTCTTTGTTAATTAACAAACATTCTTTGTTTAGAATTGGGTTCGATGAAAGGTTGAGCCCTTCATTTGTTTAATTAGTACTAGATGTACCAGAAATTTTTTAAATTTTGTCTTCTTTAACGTTATTGTTTTTTTCTTGCTGCATAAATATTTCCTTATGTACACTATTCACAATTTGTACATTGGTAGTGTTAAGTTTTGTTTAGTCAATTATATTGATAAATCACTCAAGTATTGCCAAACTTCTTTTGTGCATTTTGCGTAAATATTTTTAAAAATGTGAACTCTGTCTGTATCGGTAATGCCGACGACAGCTGTGGAAATCGTGTTATTTATTTTGAGGTTGATAGTGACAAAATAATAAAATCAGCAATAAAATTGGGGCGAGTTTATATAAGGACTGGGAGAACTAACGTTACACATGAGTTAAGATCAGTCAAGTTGCTAAGTATAGCTAATTATCCATAACGTAAAAGATATGACAAACAATGCATCTTTTTGGCTGACATCGTAGTGTATGTCTTTAGGCTGATAAATCGCCAGACACGTGCTCTAAGTCACCCATTGATTTGCCTCTAATCGATTAGAACAGTAATTGAAAACAGCCGTCTCGCACCTTTGGGTTGGGGATAGATAGACCCAGTGGGAATAAAAAATTCCCATCAAACAACTTTGTTATTGTGAGATGGCCCCATTATTAAGTATCGCGAGGGATAAAGCACAATTAATTGCTTTCCTACTGTCTGAAATGAACTGAAATCACGCCAAAAGTCCAGACAGCAAGGACTGAAATCACAATAAAAGTTCAAACAATAAGGATTTAAAACAAAGTAAAATTCCAGACCGCAAGGACTGAAATCTCGCAAAACTTCCAGGCTGCAAGGACTGCAATCACAGCAAACGCCCAACAAAAAGGACAGTAGTTCTTCGTGCCACTTATTGGTCATTCGGAGTTAACATTAAACCATAGACTTACATAGAGGTGACAGTTGAGAGTCAAATAATAATTACATAGGCGCCCATAGATTAAGACACAGGAACCTTTGGGGGTCAAGTTATATTATATTGACGCCCATAAGTTACCATATGGGTGCCATTTGGTGGTCATATTATATTAAATAGACGCCCAAAGGTTTAACATGGGAATGGTATTATGGAGTCAAAAGTGTTTATAGAGTTAAGTGGTAAAATTGTTACAAGTGGCTGTAGTTGACCTCAATATGCGCCAATATATGTACGCATTTGAAATCTTATGTTAAATTTATCCACAGGATTAGCATGGGCATAGTATTATAGTGAAAAATGTTTATGGGGTCAAAAGTCTTTATGGGGATAAATGTGTTTACGGGGACAGGGAAAAATGTTAAATTTGTGATTGCTGTAGGTTGTTTCTATGTTCTGAAAATTATCGGGTCGTATGTGAGTTGTAATGTTAAATTGTTAAATATCGTGCAACCATCACCCACTTTCTAATTACAATCCAATACACAATATATACAATCAAGCACCTGCTATTTATTAAAATCCATCACCAACTCTTTCATTGCAATCCAACGTTTATGAGGGTCTACTGGAGTATAACATATAGTTTTATATCATCCAAAACCTAATACAGACTATACAAAACGCCTTGTGTCTAAATTTCTACATCTCTTATTAAACGAAAACAGTTATCATTGAAAAGGAGATGAAACCACTGAAACATACTATCCATCACATTAGCTATACCTTTCAACACCGCATTCATACTATCCAAAACGCCTTGCATAATCACATAACACCCCGCACTTATTATCAGACAAAAATTGGTTCTGTGTAAAAGATTAAGATGAAATAACACATACTTTCCAACACACAATCTGTACCATCCAATATCCCATACTCAATATCCAAAATATATTGTGTAGTGTCTAAAAATCTACACCTATTATCAGACGAAACGGCCATGACATGAAATTAGATAAAACAAACACACCATCCAAAACAATATATGCACTATTCAGCATCCCCAAAACACTAACAAAAATCCCCTTTACCATGACTGAATGTGTGAATGTGTGTGCGTAAGTCACTTATCGATATTATAAAAAGACAAAGCAACGATGGGTGGCAACAATTGCATACACATAAAGCTATGACGTGATGGAAAACATCCGTCCGATTCAGCTAGCGGACGTGAAGGTAAACATGACCAAGATCGATATAGAGATATATGAAAGAGCATATTCATACAATTTTAATAAAGACAATACAAGCCATGTCCTTTTGTTTCAAAACTCGATATATTTAATATAAGAAGCCTCTCTATCACATACTGCAAATTAGTAAGAAGACAAGCACTATTCTAAGCATGTAGGTGTGCACAAGGTTGGCAATGACGTCGAGTCGGACGTGAATTCCACTGTTCTTTTGTAATTGACTCTTATTATGTTTCTGAGCTAAAAGACAATATAAAACCATGGTGTTCACAAAACCATCGATTCAAGTCACTTGGTTTTGACTTCTGGAAAAGTGTTGCCGAATGGGTTTGTGTATAAACATCGTTGCATCTCTGGTAAGCTTATACTTTTAAGTTTAATCTTAGCAGAGTGATAAAAGATTTGAATGAGCAGGATTGTAGTAAATACTAGCTCAATGGGTCTCCATGATGACTTTTCGTCCACTGTACACCGATACTACTTTTAGATTTGTGTATCTGACGAACCCTATGTGCAGCTCTTGTGAAGTAGTAATTTTTTTCTTGGTGTCGTTCTCCATTTCTGTCTTCCAGTCTTGTTTATGCTTCTTGTGCTGAAGAAGATGTCTATATATTCGCTTTGACCCAAGCTTTTATTTCTGCTTGTCTGGGAGTAGGGGAATGAGTCGAAACAGAATGTTCAGTCTGACTGGGTATTCGAGCAGATGGAGTTTGAAACACTTTCCGTGTGTTATCTTCCACCATCCTCGTAGCTGCCCCTGTCTTGGTGACTTTGGCCTTGCATTTCACAATCGTCTTGAAATCTCCCAAAGTAGGTTCAGCTGTGTGTAGACTTTTCTCGTGAAAAAGTTGAAGAAGTTGCATACTTCTCCGTACGTTGCGATTTTTTGGTTTTTGATAAATCGGTTCGGACCACCACCAACTGTCATTCCTGCTGTACCTATGATATATCCGAGAGATTAGGATTCGGAGGCAAATGAGGTATTCATTGTTTGTTCCTACGATGGAGCTCCATTGAGTTTATCCTTCCTTTTCATGGAACGAAAGTGAGCTTTCGTCCTTCTATAAGATTGAAAGGTACAAGTATGGCGTCCTCCAAGACAAGGGGTCACCTATATTTTCAGTTATTTTCTTTCTTATCCCATTACGACTCCTAAAAGTGATCCAACAATTGATCCTAGCGACCCCCTCCACGCGTTGAACCAGCATCTTTTTCATTTGATTAATTGCCATCTCCTTGTTCACCATTTGTCTAACAACGTTTGCCTGAGCGTTGTTTCTGCATATTGGACAGAGGTACCGTGCCTGAGCGTTGTTTCTGCATATTGGCAAAGGTACCGTTCACTTCGATACATTCACACACTTTATTGATGATTTTTTTTGTCGCACTTTTGGTTTGGATTTCATAAGTACAAATAAAAAATCCCAATAAAATATCCCAATGTTTAGCTAAACCAGAAAGCAGTCCCTTTCTTTTTCCTTTATTTGAGGAAGGCTGTGACTTGGGAGGTCGATTTGGAGAGTGGTGTGCATTTCGATGGGGTAACATCTTTATTTCAGGGATAAGAACAAGAATTTCTGAAGTGAATCATATCACACACTTATACTGGAATTTGTCTCCACTGATTGTCGTATCAACTTCATCACAGGCACCACTCGACAATGATGTGCTTACAACTAACTAAATTGTGACAGTTTTTGTTTGGATAAATACAATATACTTTGTAACACTTGTGTTCTGTCTTGAAATTTGGCTTGAGTAAACCCACGTTTTTAGCTACAGCAGCTGCGGAAAAAGAAACATGACTTCCATTCTGTCATCAAATTAGTTAACACGGTGAGTCTTATCAATTTTGACATGTGTCATGGTTAGCTAGGAATTAGAGGTTGTTGGGGATGACACCGTCAGCGATCGCTATGGTTTTCTTGGAGTACGTACTTGTCCTTGCATCAGCACTTTCTCTCTTACCTATATTTTTTTCACTTTTCTTCTTAATTTTGGAACGTTTTTGTGTGGTGTGAACGTACCGTTATCACACAACACTTCTTTAGACGTAGTTTTAGGGAGATGATTCTATTTCTTCTAAATTTGACATTAGGATCCCATTTTAAAAGAGGATGAATGATGACACCGCCTAGAGAACATCTACGTAATGGCGTTATAACTTGAGCCGACTATTTTAAAGAAATTATATTATTAGGACTACTGTATAAGGTGATAATAAGATTCAGAATGAATCTGTGCCTGAAAGGAATTTTTTATAGTACTTAAAGTAACACCTTCTCTTCAGTAATAAATATAACATTATTGCAAATATAATCATTATATTAAGTTACAAACAGGTAAACTAGTGTGGGTGTGTGATTTAGATTTTTAACGTAGCTTTAACAATGTTTCAGTCATATCGCTACTATATCTGCAGTGTGACAGTTTATAGTGATGTCTAGCACTATAACTAACCTCTAATTGCTGAGCGCAAAATGAGGCAGCTGTTAGTACCATTTTTTAAAAAAGTCTTTGGTATGACTCGGCCGGGGTTCGAACTCGCGATCCCTCGCATCTCAGACGGACGCTCTAACCACTAAGCAACCGTAGGTAAACTAGAAAACAGACTATAAAAGTGCATTATGCGATTCAAGTCGGAATTATCTAAAATACAAGCTCAATGTGATAGTAACCACTATAACTAGAGATCACACATCATAAAGTGGACTGCTCTCCGACTAGACGCTTCTTAATGTGTTGTTTTACTCTACTCTATACAAAAGCCATGTAGCCATACACTGCCTGTGCGCTCAATGCCTCAAACACTTTGCTACTGCAGCAATGTGATGAACCATAGTCACCATTTCAAAATAATATACAATATAATAATATAATAAACTTCCCTCGGGTAATGCTGTGCACAAACAAAAAACGAATCCCTAGTACATACATACATACATACATACATACATACATACATACATACATACATACATACATACATACATACATACATACATACATACATACATACATACAGACAGACAGACAGACAGACAGACAGACAGACAGACAGACAGACACACACACACACATACATACATACATACATACATACATACATACATACATACATACATACATACATATATATATATATATATATATATATATATATATATATATATATATATATATATATATATATATATATATATATATATATATATATATATATATACACACACACACACACACATTTCCTTGACCGAGACCAGTTGGTAGGTACACCCTGTATGACAAGAATATCATACTGCTGCATCGATTTGGCTAGTAGAGGTAAGACACAGGTACAGCATTGTTTAACTTGAATTCGTAGGGGAGTTGCCAGGTCGTGATGTATCGCTGATGACGCAGAGTATAGTATCGCACTCGAGTTGATCATTAAACTCTGTAGTCATGTTAGCATGTATCGGTGAAAGTGTTCTAAACTTAAATCGGTCACTGGGTTTCGTGATGGTCCCTCAATTCCTTTTTGGTGCTGTGTTAAATTTTTCATCGTCTTTTTCATGTCGGGGTTAGTGTTCCCTTTATATTCGAGCTCCGCATCTCCGTGCTGTAAATTTTTTTGCTCTGGAAGTCGCATTAGTTTCTGGTACACAGTATAATAAAGTTTTTCTAAAGAGCGACTGAAGTTTTTTGGTGATTCTGTATCATTTTCTCCCTGTCGGTATCTGTATTGCTATATGTAATTTTTGGGGCCACAGCTTGCAAAACTGAAAATGGGTATCTTCTTGGTGCTTGTGGATTGTTGGGTTGTGGCTTTTAGGGTGACGTATATAGCCAATGTACCGTCGATTGTTGGGTTGTGGCTTTTAGGGTGACGGATATAGCCAATGTACCGTCGATTGTTGGGTTGTGGCTTTTAGGGTGACGGATATAGCCAATGTACCGTCGATTGTTGGGTTGTGGTTTTTAGGGTGACGGATATAGAAGCAGCTATCTGCATCAAAGTAATGTACTCGATCGGCTATCATGTACGAGACAATGCTGACATTTCCGCAATGAATTAGTTACTCCTTATTGCAAACGTCTTGGTCACATTTTTCAAAATGATATCTGTATCCTAGAAACCCAGTGATAATGGTAATGGCATCGAAATGCTCTTGGTGATGATAACACGTGAACGTATTGTAATAAAATTAAAGAGATGCGCATTTAGTTTAAGCAATGTGTAGGATTGTGTGATTACATGTTTGATTATTGGAATTCATTGCAGTGGGAAATATACCTTAGCACGAAATAATTAGTCAATTATTAGGAGCAAACGTCACGGAGAGAAAGTGTTAGTGAGATGCCATAGCCAATGAGTAGCGAACTCAGACCTACTCGGCATGACTGTGCCTGTCGTGATATAGCACTTTATAAAAACTAGTGGTGTACATCGGTGTTGTGACTGCAGCGGCAGTATTGTATGGTAGTAAACCGGTAAATTACACAATGGGATAAATGAGAAAGGACTCGGTAGATACCGTTTATGTTACCATAGTCGCAAATGTGATGTAGGTTTACTGGTGTGATGTTCCTTAAAACGTTAGTTCGACTGGCCTCAGGTAGGCAGTTAAAATAGTTCCCCGTGTTAGGAATAGTTGTACCGTTTCTACGGTGTGAATTACAAGCGGAAGGGAAAGTTAATACAGAGAAACTGTGGGGATGTGCGTTTGATGGCTAAATTGCAAGTTGTAAATAATGTGGTCTTGTATTGATTATTGTAAAATTTATGTACTGAAGTTGTATAGAATTCTTTGGAAATAAAGACCCCTGGCTCATAACAGTATTTTCAGTCAGGGAAAACGTGGCCTCGACACGCCAGAGCTCAAGAAACCACCTTTGACGATACATCTTCAATGTATAGACCATTTCACGGTTATGATCTCCCCTTCAAAACACCAGAGGGCGTATCGGTGCAACTCACTTCCGGATAGTTCAGTCAATAAAGATGACAGATGTAGATCAAGAAAATGTGACAGACCGCTAAAAATTCAGCAAGCAAGACTGAAATATCACTATCCTAAACAGACATTTTATCAATATTTTATTAACTGTTTTTTCATCTTTTATTTTTCTTTTCAGTAACTTGCGCTGTTCCCAGCTTTCAAATAAATGTTCTCTGCCCATTTCAAAGCGTCATTATCTTTTCACTACTACCTCAAGCTCTAGTTTGTGTTATTTGATTGTGCGAAAGTGTATCGCTGCGTAAAATGATTGTTAAAGCAATTTATCTCGCTTGAAGAATGATGAACTTTAGCAACAATTTTTTTTTAAATTGTCACCAATTACCTTAAATCCCATGAATGATCACTGTGAATGCTGTATAACTTTCTCTACAACCAAAATCGCATCTCCATTTCTGGCATTTCTCTGCTGTATGTTCAAAGTTTTATTACCATGATTAAAAAAAGAAGGAATAAAACAATAGTACTATGCAATGTTTTATTTATATATATATATATATATATATATATATATATATATATATATATATATATATATATATATATATATATATATATATATATATATAATCAATTGAAATAGCTGCATTTATATTAATGTTCATTATATTTTTCATGAAATAACTTGAGTTATATCGAGGAATGATATATTTCATTTCATATGTTGTATTGGTATGCATATTTATTTATATGTTTGAATGAATATGTTCGCATACGTATATTACATAAACATATTTCTGGTTAAAAACGGGTAAATAATGGTACTAAGATAGAAAGAGTGACTGATAGATAAAGACAACAAATATTAATATTTGTTACTATCCATTTATTATTGTCTTGAAAAGCATGGTTCTTACAGTCTCTTTTTTAAATCATACTGTCTGCAATTTTACATCCGATCACGTGGATCAATATTGATTTAAAATGCGAATCAATGTTATAGGACGGAATCTGTGAAATAATTAAATCTTTTAAACTTGCATATTTGATGCATGGAAAGGCAAATAGAATTTAACTAAATTCAAGAAGGTTGTTTCAGATAAATTTGTTGGTGGCAATCATAAATATTGTCTAAAGACCACAACAAATTTGAGAGTTATTACAACGTGTCAGCATAGGCAAAGACAAATCAGGCTGAAAGTTATTGAATGCACCGTCCGATGCTTGATGTGTCAAGTTTTGAGAAAACCAGCGAGATATGTAAATAATTAAATATTAGGCTGAATGAATGCATGGCAATATTTGACTGGACAAGGCATATATGATGAAATACGGTTTTGATTGTTTGAAGATGTGATAACTCTTCCTAATACCACCACCAAAGAGAAAATGAAACAAAACAAAAAACGTCATTGAGTTGTTATTGAGCTGAATATTGTATTATATTTACACTCAAACATTCCATCTGCATTAATTATATTCCTTTATCTTTATAATAGTTGAAAAGATGTTAGACATATATAATTTATTCAATGGTTTAACCATAACAATTTGTAGTACAGCTAAGATTCTGAAATATCCGGAACTGGAAATTTTTGGTGGGCATGCGCATTGGAAATAAGGGAGGTAATCTTAAGCGCTACGATCAGTAACTCCGTTGCAACCGTGAAATGCCCTATAGAGAGAAACCAAGGCATGTTGAAGTTTTTGCATTTTAGAAAAGCCACACGTGGTCTCTTTCAATATGACTGCTTGTTATAAGGAATTCTGCTTTTCTTGGTTGTTAGGCTCTTTCTGATTGTCGAATGCTTTCCAATGCTCTTTTCATTGTTTTAACTCCGCCTGTGTACTAGCTCGATTTTTAACTGTCGTGATGGATGGAGAGTCTCAAATGTGCCTCTTAGAAAGAGCCCCACAAATCTGTGATGAGACCTTCTACAATATGGGGTGGTACGTTTGGAACTGAACTATTTAAATCTTACTATGTAGATGTAAAGCGTCATTCGAGCTCATCAAGAATGTAATGTTTTTGTCTCTCAAATGTGATAATAATTTTCGGAGCTGCCTAAAGACTTTATTTTGGGTGGATCTTTACTCTTTGTTGTTACACAGGTGGAGGCCGTTGATACGGACTTACTCACTCACTGGCATGTACTTGATATAATAATCCATCTAACGTATGAGGTGAGACGACTTATCCTGTATCTGCAATGATAAAGTACATTGCTTTCCAGAATGTCCACATTGTCAAAAAGGAACGATCTGAGAACAGAGAGACAAAGGTTAAGGTTCCTGTTAACAAAAAGGACATTGCTCTTAAGAGTGTCCAAACAAAAAAGGGAACAAGCAGGAGAAGAAGAAACGCTTGGAACAGAAAAATAGATCTGCAGAAATGAAATTTTGTGATTTGCTGTGAAATTGTCATGGTGATTAAAAAGAAAATATAGAAAATAAAATGTAATTTTACTATGAATATGTGATTTAAACACGCACGCACACAAGTACACCATTCTATTATGGAAAACGGAAATCTTTGATAGTGTCTGAATAGTGTAGGTGTTGTTGGATAGTATGTCTGTATGATTTCATCAGTTTTATGTATCATACTTTTATCGTTCGATTAATGGGTATAGATGTTTAGATACTTCTGAAAACA